ATGTATATGTATATGTATATGTATATGTATATGTATATGTATATGTATATGTATATGTATATGTATATGTATATGTATATGTATACACACACACATATATATGAGCCTAATATATAATTTACAGTGTTCCAGCCAGACTGTCCATTCTGGGTTTTTTTACAGATGTATCCAGACCAGAAAAAAGAGAGACCAAATGTCCCATTCCAGGGTGTGATGGAACAGGTCATGTGACTGGATTGTATCCTCATCATCGCAGTCTTTCGGGCTGTCCACATAAAGTCAGAGTGCCACTTGAAAGTAAGTAGAATGTGTTCAATACAGAAAACTCTATGTCACACCACTGGCATGATGACACAAGACATAGCCTTTTATAAGGGTCATAACTGTATTAACCAAGAGCAAGGATCTGCATTATAACAGTGGTATAATTTCATGTCCATTTCAGTGATGAAGATACACTATTATTTATGGGATGAAAAATCACTAAAGCACCTGAAATTAATATTCCAGAAAAATCTCAGATCCAGAAGGGTGTTGCTTAAGCTGAATACAGTCCATTGCTGAGCAAAACCAGCCTGGCCTAAGGGACCAGATCAGATAAAAACCATGCCATCATAACTAAATGATAATCTTATATCTACTTCACCCTACCACTGCTGGGTAATACTGCATGGGTAAAACTCCAGAACAAAAGCTCAGCACTATGAACCTTAATTGGGTAAGTATCCCTCAAATTCTAGGTATCTCATAGTGTTTACCAGAGTATTCCATTTCAAGTGCCCAGACTCCTAGATTAAGTAAATGGGTGCCAAGATTTTACAAATAAATACAAGTCAAGCCTTCTTTGACTTTGAGTCAAGCTGGAAATGGATGCGGAGACTTCTTGCTAACCATACAGAAATGGTTTGACATTGATGATTTTTGGATGATTTTTCAACTTCCGAGACTCTCACATAGCTTTGATATTTCTAAGTACCAGACCTGGTTACCAACACTAACTAGGTCTGAACCTGCTTAGCCGTTAAAAGTTAAGCCAAAAGGAGCCAACACATTCACTGAGCATCTTTCAATCCTTCAACAGCAGCAAACACTACAATTTGATAAAGCTTTAACATTTGGTGCCTTTTCCTCTTATTTGTACAGTATTTGACACCTTACATTATAAAATGACTTACCTATTGTGATCTTCTTTCCGTTGCTTGCAGATAATCTCTTTTTTAAAAAAAGACTTTCTCTTTTTCTCCTTCTTTGAAGGGTTAGTGAGCAATAAGTATTGGTGATAAGAAAATAGACTTCTAAACAGTCCTCCTACTGTATCATTTGAGACAAAAAGAGAAGGGCGAGGAAGCACCATATAGGTGACCCAGACACCTAGATTTGTAAGCTGGCCCAATTTTATGCATTTTTTAAATTTGATTTGGGGAATGGAGGCTGGAGGCTGCCACAAATCCTCAATATTGATCCCCTCCTGTTTTGTATGAACACCTTGGCCCTCGTTAGGATTACTTTACTTTCATAACTGTATCTGTAATTTAAGAAGATTAGACAAATCAGAACAATATCCTGAGATCAAGCCATACCAAGTTAAATTAAAGGATGGGCAAAGCACCATCTTATTATCCATTAAGCACAATGCCTAGGGCCTACAAAAGTTTGAGGTATTATAAAATTAATTGTATTTAAGATCGTATTACTATTTTATGATGTGTGAATTTATTACAATAATAAGCAACCATCCTAGTTCAGTACAGGTAGTCAACTGAACTAACATTCCCGTTGTTTAAGCAAAGCAGTTTTTAAGTAAGTTGCACCTCCATTTTGGGACATTTTGCCACCGTTGTGAAGCAAATCACTGCAGTTAGTAAGTGAATCATGCAGTCATTAAGCAAATCTGGCTTCCACTATTGACTTTGCTTGTCAGAAACTGACTGGGAAGGTTACAAATGGTGATCACATGGACAGTACAACTGTCATAATTACATGCCAGTTGAAAAGCATTCAAATTTTGATCATGTTTGATGTTTGATGTTTAATAAATTTATAGGCCGCCCAATCCCGAAGGACTCCAGGCGGCTTACAACAATACATTTAAAAATAGAAGTTAAAAGCACAAAAACATAGATTAAAAAGACCACAACATACACCCAGTCTGATCGGGGCTGGAACTCAATCGTGAGTTCAACAGCCCGGGGCCTGCCGGAATAGCCAGGTCTTAAGAGCCTTAAGGAAGGCCATGAGAGTGGGTAGGGTCCAGATCTCTGGGGGCAGTTTATTCCAGAGGGTCAGAGCGGCTACAGAGAAGGCCCTCCCCCGGGTAGTTGCCAGCCGACATTGTCTGGCTGACGGCACCCGGAGAAGGCCCTCCCTGTGTGATCTTATCGGTCGTTGGGAAGTATGTGGCAGAAGACGGTCTTGCAGATATCCGGGTCCTAGGCCATGTAGGGCTTTAAAGGTGATAACCAGCACCTTGAATTGCGCCCGGAGACCAATGGGAAGCCAGTGCAGCTCGCGGAGGATAGGTGTGATGTGGGTGTAACTTGGTACACCCAATATCGCTCGCGCGGCTGCATTCTGAACTAGTTGTAGTCTCCGAACACTTTTCAGGGGCAGCCCCATGTAGATCATGTGACCCTGGGGATACTGCAATGGTTGTAAGTGTGAAAAATGGTCCTAAGTCATTTTTTTCAATGCTGTTGTAACTTCAAATGATCACTAAACAAATGGTTGTAAGTTGAAGACTACTGGTACTGACTGAATGTGTATCATTCCAATATTATTGGAAGGGACGCGGTGGCTCAGTGGCTAAGATGTTGAACTTGTCGATCAGAAAGGTCAGCAGTTCAGCGGTTCAAATGCCTAGCACCGCATAATGGAGTAAGCGCCCATTACTTGTCCAAGCTTCTGCCAACCTAGCAGTTTGAAAGCATTTAAAAATGCAAGTAGAAAAATAGGGACCACCTTTGGTGGGAAGCAGTGGTGGGTTCCTACTGGTTCGAACAGGTTCGACCAAACCGGTAGTGTTTTGGCAGCCTGGGTCGTTGGAACTGCCAGAGACCCAGAGCTGCCATGCCCCCGAACCAGTTCCATGGGCAGCACGCCATCTTTTTTTTTTAATTCTAAACATGCACATAACCATTTTAATTGCATTGTGCATGCGCGTGCAGTGCACATCATGCACATAAATCGGCATGTAAATCTAATAAAACTAAACCTAAACCTAAACCACATGCATGTGCGCTGCACATAAAGTTCATGCACAAAGTGCACATGCGAACAAACCCGCAGTACTACCTGTTGGAACCCACCCCTGGTGGGAAGGTAACAGCGTTCCATGCTCCTTCAGTATTTAGTCATGACCACTGAGACATCTTAAGGCAGTGCTGGTTCTTCAGCTTTGAAACGGAGATGAGCACCACCTCCTAGAGTCAGGAGCGATTAGCACATATGTATGAGGGGAACCTTTACCTTTACCTTAATATTACTGGAACTAAATTTGATTTGGGACTTAAAATCAAATTTTCATACTGAAAATAAAAATTACATTGGATGCTATTTTGCTTCTCAAATGCAAAAACCAATCTGGTCTAGTATCAATGAGCATGCACATACATACTCACACTCAGACATACCTTCTAGGATGTAAGTGAATTGAACTTCTACTTTGCAATCACTCTAGGAAATAAACATAAGTGGGCATTTGAAATGAAAATACTGCCTTGTGCTCTTGGTCAAAATAAAATTCCCTATGATTTATTGAAGACTATATACCCAGGGAATACCTTTATAACCCTTTGCCTCTCTTGGCAGATTGATTTTTATGGCCTCTTATTGTGCTAAAAATAATTGCTACACTGATAGACTATGAAAGTAATGTGCTTGGTGCCTCCTGAGGGAAAGGGTTATATATTTGGCTATTTATTTGTGATTCCTTAAAAATATAAAATAGGTGTGTTACACTTATGGAGAGGATCACAAAACTGTTATTTCCTGTAGGTTTTTTTTTAAAAAAAAACCAAACATATTTCATGATTGCTCTAACAGAACAGAAGAAGAAAATTCCCAAGCAATCTTACAAAAGGGGATAATTTAATTCCAACTTGTTGAAAGCAGAAATAAACTGCAGGAAGAGTATTATTTATTAAATTTATACAACCCCCTTCTACTAATATAAATAGGCACTGTGCCTTGAAATGGTAGGTGTACTGCCTTTGGTGTTTTCATTTCACTCAGTATATGAAGACAATTCCACTGACAGTCAGAGAAGCAATTATGTGGCACAGAGCTGGTGACTTGTGGTTTCTTCAAGACTATATGATGACTCAGAAAATATTCCATCCACCTTCAGAGCTTTTAAATGACACAGCTGTGCTGTTCTGTGAATTGCTGTCCTTAAGCAAAGGCTGAGGCCAGTAATAGCCTTGTAATTAAAGGATATCTATTATGAATGAAGGTGACTATATGTGTCCCAGGATTATGTTTCAGGATCCAATCTGGGTTAATCACCAGGACCAGAACTTTTGTCTTTTGGAAACTTTTGGAGTTGTGCTAGAACCCATCCTCAGAGAACTACCACACAGAGAGTATCCCAAAGCACACAGAGTAGTCAGTTGGAATGCTCAGAAGACAAAACCTCTGGTCCTGGTGACAAACTCAGATTGGGCCCTGGATATTTCTTATACTTGTCATTGCTATCTTCTTCTTTTCTACTGTATGACCAGCAACCGATAACCTGATCCAAAATCAACCTATATCCCAAATGTATCGACTTAAATTTAAATTTAATCCTATGGGGTTGGTATTGAAGCTTTGGTGATAAATGTGGTAATATTTATAGAAGTAAAATTGCTTTGCTATGATTGGAACTTAATGCTAGGAAAAATGTATTTTGGTTATATTTCCCACAGCTGTTTACAAAGTGCCTTAATTATATCTTTGAATCATTTTATTTTATCAAGAATTACTGAAGTAAATTACAGAATGCAAGTGCGCGAAATGAACAAAAATAGTTTAGTAGCTTATACAGTTTGAGAGGATAATGCAGGTATTATTTCACTGCTTGGAAGTCACTTTGACAGTAAAAACAACCTTCTAACTTCCAATGTCCATTCGAGATTGACAGTGTTAAATGAGATAGATAGATAGATTAGACAGACAGACAGACAGACAGACAGACAGACAG